GACTAGGCCCTGGAAGTACTGATGAAGATAAACACTTATTTTAGAAACAGACTCTATTTAATTATTTTTGTTTCGTGGCAGCACCTAGGAGCCCCAGCCAGGGCCCCATCGTGCTAGGCACTGTACAAACACAGTGCCCTAAAGAGCTTACAATCTAAATACATCTGTGATCAAATGATCACTATAAAATGTATATGAGACAAAATGGCTGACAATATTATACAACAAAATACTGGAGAGAATTTCAGAACACTTGTCATGAAATTTATTGCATCCTTACTCACATTTTCAGTTCCCATGGCTGTTTGTTCTATTAACAACTTTTATTCATAAAGAAAACTATCAATCACAACTACATTAAAAAATGAAACAAAATCAGCATATGGTAGCAGCACATCTCAGAGGCAGCAGCTAGCTGCAGGGCTCTAATCTTTTTGTTCCCATCAGTGTTCTAACAGGAAGAGGAGATATCAATGAGGGACCGGCACTCTGTACCAGTCTACACATGTGACTCCCAATCAAGTCAATGGAAAAATAGGTGCATCCATCTAAAACAGAATTTAGGCTTAAGAATGTAAATCTCATCTTCAAAGAACAGACATCTATGCAAGGGCTGCTATGATCCAGCAAATCTACACCAAGCGAGAAGTCTACTAAGAAATATTAGCTTGTCCTGAAAATTAATTACACTCAGCCAGAATGACTTGATTCACCCTGATTGCTAAAATGTCTCTAGGGGCTAGAAAATAACCATTCTATTCCTCAGAAATGTAATGAAGGTATGATTCCAAATGTCATTATTTGGGCATATAGCTAATATGTCTATTGTGAAAACAACTACAATAAATGTATTTACATATATGAACATTATCCATTGTAATTTCTATAAGTTCACCTAAGCCTATATATTATAATATATATAGTGTTTATTTTCTCTTAGTAGAAGTTATATACCATATAAAGTGCCTTAAAACATTAATGGCATAGCAAAGGCTTATTATCTGCAAATGAGTGCCATATAAAGCTGTATCTAAAATGATGTGCAACTAACACTACATCTTGCTAGATTCCTAGAATAACATGCACAATAATAACATGAATACTAATGCAATTGGCTGTGAAATTAGCAGTTACAGATTTTTACCATTCACTTCATACCTCTTAGACAGAGGTTGGAAACCTAAGGCTCAATAGGGAGCCAAATATGGCTCTTTTTCAGCTCAAGCTCAGCTCCTCCTTCTTGAGCTCAACTCCTCACAAGATTGGAGTGCCAACACCGGCTTCTGGTGGGAAGAGCTGGGGAGAAATCCCTGAGCCTCCCTGCCAGATCCAGCTCATGGGGAAGAAGCGGAGCCAGAAACGGCTCTGTGCGCTGCCACTTCCCTTCCCAGTCTCCCAGCTAGGGGAACAGCAGAGAGCAAACACACTTCCTGGAGGCTTTCCCTGCTATTCCCATTGGCCGGATTCTGACCGATGGGAGGCAATGCCTGGGACACGGGCTGGTAGCAGGGTGCGAAAGCAAGTAAGTGTTCCCCCTTCCCCACAGGCCCAGACTCCCCTCACTCCCTCCCTCTACCAAGACCCCATACCCCATCCCGCTCCTGCACCCACTCCCCTGGCCAGGCAGCCTACCCCCAGCCTGTTCCTCCAACCTCCTTTGCTCCTGTCCCCTCCCTCCTAGCCAGAAACCCTATCCCCAAGCCTACTCCTACACTCTACCTCCTACCCAGACCTTGCAGCCTCAGCCCACTCCTGCACCCCACCTCCCACTCAGATCACGCACTCCCATCCGTATCCCACTCATTGGTAGCCCTGCCCTGCACACTTAACGCCTCATTTTTACCCCACCCCAGAACCTAGGGGGGCCAACAAAATCCACTAACTCTGGAACCCCAGAAAAATTAATTAACCTGAGGCCTTGAACCTCAGGCCTCGCTGCCCATCCCCCACCATGGGGCTGGAGCACCAGAGGAGTTAGGTGTTTCGGTTGCAGGCCACATTAATGAGGGTTGGGAGGTTTTTTTGCTTCTTGCTTATGTGGTCCTCAACTGATTTTTCTGTGCATCTGTGGCCCCTGACCCAAAAAGGGCTCCCCCCCAACATAAATAAGGACAACCTTTTGTGTTGGACATAATATTTTACTTTATTTAAAATGAAGCATAGCTAACAAGGCCCCAATCAGGGCCCAGCCCCCATCTGGCCATAGCATTCTTTCCCCGGCCCCGATTCTGGGGCAGGCCCATGGTCTGGCCTCCACAGGACTACAGGAAGGGTTGCTGGTGGTTCCTCTTCTACTGTGGCATGGATAGGAGGGGAGGCCACGATCCAGCTGTAGCAATCCTGGCCTGACCCTTCATCCAGCCTCTGCTGCCCAGGTGCAGCAGCCCAGTCCCAGCCAGTGCCCCTCACATATTTTATTTCACACCCCCAGTGCCCCGCCCTGCCTCCTGCATCTCCCATGCACCATAACCTCCTGCCCTGAGCCCCTCATACACCCCAACCCTAGGGTTACCATATGTCTGGGTTTTTCCCGGACATGTCCTCCTTTTCACTTGTTAAATCTCCGTCTGTCCAGCTTTTTTAAATGGCAAAAAATGTCTAGGATTTTGTCCTGCAAAGGGAATCAGGGAGGAGGTGGAGGCACGTGCCTGTCAAATGGAACGTTCAGAGCCGCAAGCCCGGACCGCTCATGGCCGCTCTGCGCATGCACCCCAGCACCTGGAGGGAAAAGGCTCTGGTGAGACCCAGGGCAGGTCCAATGTAGAGAGGGGTTGACCCCTCTCACAGAGTTACCATGTTACCCTCCTCCCCACTAGATTATGTCCCCGGCTCTGCAGAAGGAATGGGGTATTGGATTAGAGCAGTGGGGGTGCCAGGCTCTGGGGAAGGGGTGGGTGCATTGGGTTAGGGCAGAGGGGCTGGGGGTGCCTGGTTCTGGGGGAGGGCTGGGGCACTGGGTTGGAGCAGGGAATTGGACAATAGAACTTCTGGCTTCTTTCCATTCCTGTAGGTGGCAGTGGGTCTATTGATTAGATTTCGGGATTCCAGTCTCTGCTCTGTGAGGGCTGGTCCGTGGTGGAGCAGGCAGGGGAAAGGAAAGGATTCTAGGAAGCAGGATTCCTGGATTCCTTTTCTAGTCATGCCACTTCTCCCCTCGGTGCCTTTAACTTCATGACCAAGGACGGGCCCCAGCCAGCAGCCTCCCTGGCCCCCCATTCTTTCCTCCTGGCCCCGCAGCAGCCTGGGCTGCCAACTGATTGGCAGTGCCACTGGAACCCGTGCTATCACGCATTTTAAGATTAGTGAGGTAGGGAAGTGGGAGCCCACCATGCGGCATCCCCTCGTACCATGAGAACCAGTGGGGGCAGCTGCAGCCCTGGCAGCAGCAAGGCGGTGGCCAGAGCCACAAGCTCTGGGTGCAAAGAGACGAGTTTGCCGGCTCTGGTGCCCGGCCCCCTGTGCAAGTGGAGCAGCTGCCGCCACAGCGGCACCGGCAGGCACCAGGTGTCCTCTTTTTTGAAAGTTCAAATATGGTAACCCTAGCCAACCCTGAGTCCTGCACCCCCACATCCACAAACTGCACCCCCATTAAATAAAGTCTGTGAGTACAAATTTATTCTATTATAAATCACCATTTCAAGTCTCAATAATATTCATTTGTTTATTTTCAGTCACGCAAATGGGCATCCTTATACAGCTCTTTGTTGACCTCTTGTTCTGAATTTTGATGTAGTTTGGCTCTTAAGTTTGAAAAGGTTGCCAACCCCTGACTTAGACTCTTTTGAAATTCAGCCATTGATTTGGCCATGCATCCGTCCCCAAAGGGGGGAAAAAGAGATGAGCAAAATGCTTGTCACTTGCCGAGTCTCTGGCCCTTGTTATGGTGTCAATTTTTTATGAAACTTCAGGCCTGTAACATGGGGGAAAGTTAGAAGTTGCTGATTTTTTAAAGCTGCTGATACTGTAGTATAAAAAGGAAAAATCTTCAAAATCCACACTTTGACAAATTTTCAGCAGTTCTTTTCTGTATACATTGTACAGTGCAGTATACGCTGGGAAAACCTTTGATGTGTTTTACAAACCCATGTAATGTCTCTTCTTCACCAACAAGACTCTTTCTAATTGTCAAAGCTTAATAGCAAAGAATTAGTCTTCCATTTTTCTTTTATACTTTTTGACAACTTACAAAACTGAGCAAATTCAGACAGCAAATGGAAGGAAAGCAAAGATGCCTAGTCCTTCCAACTATACATAACTCTCATTTTCTTTTATCATAGTTCTGACTGCTAATCCTCAAAAGAAAAATGTTATGAAAAGACAAAAATATTCTATATAAACATGTACTACGCAAGAACAAAAATTTTAGAAATGCTTGAATGCCTAGAAATTTTTCCCTGTGAAAAGTAACACTTAAAATAATAAAAAATCAACAGGTGGCCAAAGATACAAGATAAATTAAATGGTTTTTATGTACAGACAGTTCTCAGTGATCACGTGCAGACATTAATGCAAAAAATTAAAAAAAACACAATGAAAAAGAAAAAGAGCCTCAGAACTTCAACGAATTTCTAAAATGATCATGTCATTTTCAGATTAAGACAGATAATTAAACACTTTTACTGCAGGAAAACTAGATCAAATACCTGACGACTTCTTCTACATGAAACTACTACAAATATAACAAAAGCTTCTCAACAACTGGTAAATAAAGACAAATCTAACTGCAACTTACATAATTCACCCATTGTTTTAGTGCACATATTTAACATAGTATAAGGAACAATTATATTTTACATAAAATATTATAAGAAGGAACAGAATTCCTCAGATCAAAATTTAAATAACTTAAGAAGGGAATTGATCCTCATTAAGCTAAAGCTAAATATTATTAATTATTAGGTATACAGTCTTCATTAAATATGTTACACTGTTGTTCATATTTAATTATTCCAGACACAAGTTAAAGCAATAGGAACACTTTCTCCAAAAGGACTTAATACCTGCAAACAGCCTCTTTTAGCATCTGATTAAATTCAGGATCTTCTGAATAGGATCTCAGAGTGATACTCCTCTTGTGTGTATTCAGGGACATTGCCAGTTATAGTTCCACTTTCTGACTAGGATAAATGACTTCTCACAAAAGGCTACTCAGGAACTGGGCTGCTTCTTAAAAAAGCATTAGGTTGGCCCCACACTGTGCCATCAAAGGCTCTTCCACATGAAGCCTTCATTACTCATACATTTCAAATCTGTTGCACAGTACATGGGACATCAAATCTAATCATTTTGTCCAGTCCTCTATTTTAAAGTCCTTACAGTTACACTTTCCACATACTACTGGGAAGAGCGAGCTTCCTTTCTTACCACATGTTGCTGGTGTCTGACCTACATCACAAAGATGACTGAATCTCCTACTAATCCACACCCTAATAACCAGACTTTCAACCCTTAAAACCCCAAACAGGAAAGCTAGTCACATGACAAGCAGCATTTTTCTTTCTTTTAATGTTAATTGTTCTGTCTGCAAAGTTATTTCACCACGTGAACATTTTTTTTGAATTTATAGTAATCAAACAGATGCATAATTTACAAATTTAAAGCTCATCTTTGGAATGTAGTTTGATAAAATATACTGCCTTTTATATTTTTATACACACACAAATCTTTATAATCAGCTATGAGAAAGCAACATTTAAAGTTTTTATAATAAATAATGTATGATACTGTACATACGATTTGTGTTATTCATTAACAATATATTAGTTTAATTTAATTTACACAATTTCAACTGATGAAAAGCAATTCTGAAGAATGGATTTTATTTTATTCTGAAAACGTTTTAATGTTAAGCTGATTTGGGAATCCACAGGCTGTTAAACAATAAGTAGGCAGGGTTTTCATGTATTGAAGTAGAGGGAAGACAAGGTTTGATTTCTGTCCATACAAAACAGATTTCTAATTATTTTAATAGAGGTAATATATTGATGGTTAGATCAAAGATATTGGAAATAGAAAGTAAAGCCTACAACTGCAAAAATACAACTATTCCTGCTCCCATCTATCCTACCTGCAAGACAGCTCTGCGAATCTGAAGGCCAAATTGAATCCTAGTAATTCAGAAGTTCTTACACCACGAGAATGCATTCAGAGCATCTATTTTTTTTCCCCATTGGAACTTGTATGTAATTCACATTCAGATTAACTGGAGTTATGCATGCATGACCCCATTCACTTTACCAGGAGTCTGCATGTACAGCAATAAGATATGAGACTCCTAGAAGTAGCAAGAAAACATACATATTCTTATATGTCATGTATACCTTGACATAAGCTTCTCCATGCTTATATTGCAGAAAGAATAATAATCAGCCATTACCATAACAAAAATAAGTAAGCACCTATCAAATATTTAATTAAACTCAATAAACCAGTGATAAATTTATGCTACTGACTGGAAAATGGGAATAAAACAGGAGGTAAGGCAAGATGATCCAAATACAAATAAATTTATCTACTATATTTATAGGATCACAGAAATATTGGACAACTATTATTTAAACAAGATGAGAGGAATTTGAATTCCCAAAGGAATTAGTTAAAAACAGTCCTAATCTTCATCTTCTAAATCCAACTCTGTCTTTGATGCAGTATATTGTTTAATCTGAAGAACAAGCCAAACCTGACACCCAGTGCTCTCAACTTTAGGATAATTTAACTCTTGATAACTTGTTTCAGCTGAAAACTGAAGTATCATATTGAACATCCTAGAAATTCACTCTGGTGTTTGTGAGTGACAAACAAGATCACAGTAGACATAAGGTGGAGGAGAGAAGAAACAAGAAAAGATATATGGGGAATGATCAGGAGAGAAGAAGGATGAAGTGCAAGAAGGATGAGGAAGAGGGAGAAGAAAGGAAGACAGAGGACATTTGCTCTTCACTTGTGGGGATCCATTTCACTAAGGGTATGTCTACACTAGCCACCCTAGTTCAAACTAGGGTGGCTAATGTAGTCGTTTGAACTTGCAAATGAAGCCCGAGCCCAGGATTAAAATATCCCGGGCTTTATTTGCATGTTCCCAGGCACCGCCATTTTTAAATGCCCGGTAGTTCGGACTCCCTGCCCGCAGCTACACGCGGCACAGGCTAGGTAGTTCGAACTAAAGCCCCTAATTCGGACTACCGTTACTCCTCACAGGTGGAGTAACGGTAATCTGAATTAGGGGCTTTAGTTCAAACTACCTAGCCCGTGCCGCGTGTAGCCGCAGGCAGGGAGTCCAAACTACCGGGCATTTAAAAATAGTGGTGCCCAGGAACATGCAAATAAATCCCGGGATATTTTAATCCCAGGCTTCATTTGCAAGTTCAAATGACTACATTAGCCACCCTAGTTCGAACTAGGGTGGCTAGTGTAGACATACCCTAAGGTTTCTGTGAACATGACCTCTACTACCAGCAATCAATGAGAGGAATATCTAATGTGAATGTAGGAAATAAAACTACTTTAGCGCCATAGGCTCATCTGAAGTCCTAGCACAGGATCTAACCCCATATTCTGACAGAGAAATTCCTTTTGTCAGCAGTGGGTAACTGTACACACTGGGAAAGCAGTGTCAACCCCAGGAGAGATGGCAGGAGAAAGGAGAGTAGCCTGTAGCACTAGTTTGCAGAATTCTATGCCTGTAGAAAGTGATATGCTGCTTTTCTTTCTTTAAGGCCTCCAGAACTGCTGATCTACCCATACCTGGACTGCAGTGGAGACGAGCAGCACCTAGCACTATGGGGAAGAGGTTGATCCTGGCAGTGTAGATAAAAATAGAAGTTGCATGGAGCCGTTTACAAATGGAGACAGGCTCTCCTTGAACTTTTGTTTTCTTTGCACTTTCTGTTTGTTTGTTTCACACAGCCCAGCAGCATTTTTCCTATAGTTAACATCACTGAATATATAAAGCGCCAGAGTAAAATCATAATAATACCTGTGTCTACTTAACTGGGAAACAGAAAGAATACTATGTGACTTCAGAAACCATTGACACACAATTCAAAGAATGAATCATGAATACAGAAAACTCAAAATGAACACACATGGGGAAGCGGTTTGCAAAAAATTCACAATTTCAATTTTTTGTGTGCAACACAGCTGTCAAACAAATACAAATAGCAAACCAAAATAAAGGAGCTCAATTCACTGAAAATAGTGTGCATTACAAATTGTATGTCTAATACACACACATATTAAGCTTTGTATTGTAAATATACTCTTACATACAATTTATGGCATCCAATCACTATAATTATTTCACAATTTAAAAGCTATATTTTTAAGATGCAAAAAATGTTACCTTTACAATATCTTTCATTATTTTTTCTAGACTCCTTCAGTGTCTATAGTACTGTTTTTTTTCCATTCTGGTGCATAATATTTTTCTTCATTAGAATTTTGCAATGCCAACACTGTACCAGTAACATGCCAACCTCATGATGAAAGGTTGTTCCACTCCTTTATGCTCTCCAGATGGCAATGGTT